CACCACGAGTTGCGGTAATAGAACTAAACATAAAAAATTAGTCAGTGTTCAGCTTCATCCACGAATTGCAAAAAATGGACAGCGTTCGCGGGGTGGGAGATGGGTAGATAGGGATCGGAAGACACCAGAAAGGGAGAAAAGATAATATAAGATAAAAACGCACCTCCCCCGGCACCAACACGTCCGCAAAACAGCTCCCCCCTCCCTCGCCCACGGTGGACGCATCCGCGAGCTTGGTCATGCTCAGCACCGGCACGAGGTCCGTCGTGAACTCTGCGCTCGATGCGGACGCTAGGACTGTGTTTTCCACACGTCAGTATGTGTATCGTGTATTTTGGCAGGTTGAATCAAAACTCGTATGGAAAAAGCACGGGAGCGGAGGGAGGGAAAAAGAAAGAAGAAAAAACCAACTCACAACTAACATCCCCCACACTCCCCACGCCCCTCACCGGCCGACACACATGCTCCCTCCCGCTATCGGCGTCGGTGAAGAACAGCAGGGTGCGCGCGGGGGAGAGGGCGAAGGGCGTGGGGTCGGTGAGAGTTGTTGCGCGCGCGAGGGTGGAGAGGGCGGGCGGGTCTGTGGGTTTGGTTAGCGGTGTGGATTACAAGTTGCGGGGTTTTGGAACGGGGGAATAAAAACGGGGGTGGGGGATGGGTTTGATTAAGGGTAACAATTCGGTGCACGAAAGACAAGGAAAAGAAGCTGCAACTTTTGAAAACTAGACGCGTCGAAAGCCACTATCCGGGGAGAGCGGGGTACCCATTCGCGTCCAAAGCTACAAGTCAAAGCTACAGTACCAAACACTTCGAAGGAAACAGGCAACACGCGCGATGAACATCGCAAGACACAGAAAACAAAAACGCGCATGAGGAAGCACGCACCATCAAACAACCCGCCCACGTCAAATACCACGCGCGGTTCGTCGCGCCCGTTAATTACGACGGTCATTGGCGGGAGGGCCGCGGCGAACTGTGGGCATCGAGTTTTGTGGAGAGAAGTGCGGAGTGCGGAGAGGAGAGTGGATTTATAGGGTGAGAGTGGGGAGAGTGGTGAGAATTTGAGTGTGTCGGTTTTTTTGAGTGGAGAGGAGGATTGCGTGGAGAAGTATGCGTTAAAAGCAAAGGTGAAGGATTGGGATTGGGATTTTGTGTTGCGACGGGATATTTTGTGGTGGAGAGGAAATTGTGGGATGTAAGTGTAGACGTTGTTTGGACGGCAGATATTCAGTCGTATAATTTGCGGGCGTCGTCACGGTGGGGAATTGAATTGAATCGGTTCGGATGGCGTCCGCGTCGAGTATACCGTAGACAAGCCGTGAGATGGAGATAACACCGAGGTGCAGGTGGTTCGAGTGGAATCGCGAGCAACGCAGTGCATAGAATGTGAAGGAGAAGAAAGAAAACGCAAACCGTCAGCGATCGCTTTCCCCCAAAATCAAACAAACCACGCACCTTATTAACCGTATTTTCCCAATCCCCATCGAAATACGTCGCCTGCAGCGCAGGCTTGTGCGCCTGCCCGTCGCGGATGGTGAGGAAGGCGAGGCCGTGCGTGTCTCCGGAGCCGGAGGCGTTTAACTGGGGAGGCGTAAGTGAATGAATGAATAGATAATAATTGATTGAAACGAAAGCATACGAAGATAGGAAGATCGGCGGGGCGAGGGCAGGAAATGGGGAAGGCAAAGGCGGGGATCGACACACGCGGACTCGATGGTGTGGATCCGGATCCGCGAGGTGTGAAGAAAAAAGAAGGGGCATCCATAAAGCGACGAATGTAAAACGAGGATGAAAAAAGATCTGCGGGTAGGGGTGCGGGTGAAGGCATTGCATATTGAACGCCGAGGGAGAGGGAGAGGGATGGAGAAAGGAGGGAAGACATGGAAAGGGACGATCCGGCAAATGGGGAAGGGCGGAGGGTTGGAGGTGTGGAGAAGAAAATATCCCGAGAGAGGGGGAATCAGGCAACACGAAAGTAGCAGCGGGAGCGTAAATGACGGCGCTGCACGGCGAACAATGGTTGCGCCGCCTGTCGAAGCGCGCCGCCCGCGCACAAAGAAAGAGACGGAGTCTCACAGGCGAGTCACGGATCGAGACTCAGATACGGCGTTTGAGCACGCGAATGCGGCACGGGGCGGGTATCCCTATCTGCCAGCACCACTCCTCTTCCTCTTCCTCTTCCTCCTCTCACCACCACGACTCCCGTCCCCGAACGCAAGACGAGCCGCAAGCTCTACTCGCCGCACCGCCGGATGCAAGACGCAAGACGCTGTGCGCATTTCGCCAACATCCCTCCACGCCCCGATAAAAGGGGCAACGGGGAGCCGGAGCGAAGGAAGGAAAGAGAGGAGAGAAGCGCAAGCCAGGACGGCAAGACGCTCGAGCAACAGAGAACAACGCAGGCAAGACTTTCGGGATAGAACGCAGGACGCCCACGCGAAAAACGCCCGGAAGAAGGCAAACAAGAACGCACTGGCGTTACTCATCGCATGACGACCGACGGCGCGAACGATGCTCTGCGCTCTCTTCTTCCCTGCGCCTCTCAAAAAGCACCAACGCACGAAAAAGAAACCCAAAGAAAGAAGCACGCACCGCTCCCTGCATCCCCCTCACCCTCTCCCGAAACCAGCCCCGCCCCCCACTCGGGTCCCCCTCCTTCTGACGAAGCGCAGCGACGGCGCGCTCGACGCGCCAGAAGGGCGCAAAATCGCGGTGGATGGCGGGGTAGGCGGAGGGGGAGGTGAGGCAGTGGTGGTCCTGGGGTAAGTCAGCGTTCTGCGTGCGCGTCTGGAAGGGACGAGGGGGAGAGGAAAGAAGTAGGCGCACCCTCGCAAACTCAAAAAAAGCATCAAACCCCTCCGGCGGTGTCCTCCCCGTCTGCAGACTGTACCGCGCCCTCGCGCCCTCGATCGTGCGCGGCTGCGCTGCCAACAACGCATCCACACCTGCGTCTGCGTCCGCTTCGAACCAGTCCGGGTCGTCGATTGGCGTGGAGCCGTGGAGAGGCGGAGGGGCGCCATGCGGGTGCCCGTCATGTCCGTGTCCGTGCGGCGGCGGCGGTGCATTTCCGCCCCATCCCCCACCGCCTCCGCCTCCCCCGGATTCACCATGCCCATACCGCAAAGGTGCGGGCACAGGCAGCCCCGCGCTGGGTCCGAAATACACGTATCCGCCAAGGAGGACGACGAGTAGCGCGCCCGCTGCGGTGAGGAACAAAAGCCGTGGAGTACGGACGCGGTGGCGGCGCGAGGTGTGCGATGAGGAGGGTGGGTGAGAGGAGGTGGCGAGCGCGAGGAGTGGGCGGGCGATGCTGGATTCGGGATTTGGGTATGTCGAGGCCATTTTCAGGCGGGTATCGATCGGGCGGTCTTCTTTCTCGTTGGGCGCCGTGAAAAGATGGTTGAACGAGTGGAGAGTAGGAGTGGTGAGGAGGAGGAAGGGCGGAGGCCAGGCTGAAACGGGCTTGTCGTCGTTGTGGTTGGTGCCACACGTCGTCGACGAAGATCCCACGACCGGCGACCTGTCCCCGACCCCGGGCCGGTGACGGATCAAATAAGTTTGAGACAAATTCAGGTTGAATAATCTGTTACAGTGTAAGTAGGGAGGATGAGGGTGTTGACCGTCGCGCTGCGACTTATGCGGATTCGACTCTTTCGCTTCGGCCAAGCGTGACACAAGGGGGAAAAAACTGGGACCATCTACACGGACGCCCTTTTCATCCCACCGACTTGAGGTTTTCTAGTTTTAGGGAAAGTGGGTGCTCACCTCGATCCTCAAAGGCCTTCCCTGAGTCCCTGGAAGCTGGATCCACACCCATGCTTTCCCTTGGCATTTTGGTTGAATACAGGGAAAGTACGTATCAACGTTTTTTCGGAACTCCGAGGAAGGGTTACCAGCTCCTTAGCGAACCTTTTCGCCCACCGAGATTGATGAACTCGGCATGTTTAATTATCAGTTTCAACGGTGCGAGTTCGGATCGTACCGGTTGCAACTCCTACAATCTGCTTCTTCATGTTTGAAACAATAGGCAGAAAAAGAAGACGTACCCTCTTCCATGCTAGCGCTCTCGGAGGGAGTCGAACCCACCCTAACCAACCACCGTGGATGTCTGAAGCATATGGAGCTCATCGCCGCGACGAGGGCTTATCACACAGACCCGGGAACTGAAGTGAGTGCTTCTGACCCAGACCTGTACTGTGATCGATGCACCCAAGGGTTCGTTGAACTCGGACCTGCGAGGCACGGTGTTGCAGAATCAAAACAACAGTTCCTATGCTTGGGGCGAGGAACAATGCAGGCAGGTATATAAGACAGCAAGAGTATCGTCTCGGTTCGCCAAAGGACCGAGGAAAAAACGTGAACCAAGCATACAACAGTACCCTTGGAGGGAATCGAACCCTCTCCATCCCACTGTACTATGCCAGTAAAATGCGCCATAAATTGTGGGTGATCACCTTGATCCGCAAAGGCTTTCCCTGCGTCCATGGAAGCTGATCAGCCCCAACTGATTTTTCTCAACATCCAGACTGCTTTCCAACCAGAAACAAAAAAGCCATGTTTCGAATTTCCACGCCGCATCCAATTTGTAACACTCACCTCAGCTCAAGCAGATCGCTCGATGCTAAGATTTGGGAGGCGCGGCGTCAAGGAAAGGGAAAAGAAAAAGAAAAAAGCACATCAACCGATTCCATGCCTTCGGTGGGAGTCGAACCCACACAGTCCTTTTGAAGCTAACCCTTCTCCAAACCGACGAATATGGAAAGGATGATCACCGCGCTCGACGAGGGCTTGTTTCCTTCACCTTCGGACCGAGCTATCCACATATTGTGTACGCATTGATCTTGCCGAACCCACACACGAGTGCCAGCTTTTTGAACCCTGGCTCCTAACGGCTCAACTGTTCAGCCTTAATTTTACTAAACGAATTTGTCTGCCAGTGTCCGATGCCGCTGCTTAAATTCCCTGAGGGAGGGGAAAAACCATCCCGCATACTTACCACATACTCTCGGTGGGAATCGAACCCACATCTCCCATCAAACGTTTCGAGGCTTGGAGCATTCAAAGTGGGTGATCACCACGATCCACGAGGGCTTATCCTATTCGTGAATAAACCGTTGTACCTACCGCTGATTCGGACAGACGTAGTGCAACCCCGAGCCGTTTTCTAAACGTGGACTCGCAAAATTCAACACACTGAGTTCAAAAGTCAACCACGGCGGAACCAACTCGACGAATCGTCAAAAAACATGGACAGAGTTTCGAGGGAGGGGATTTAAAACAACAGCATATACAACACATGCCCTCAGTAGGAGTCGAACCCACACAACCATCTAAACCCAATATTTCCTTGGCCGCCGAATATTGAGATAATCCCCGCGATCGACGAGGGCTTGGTCCCTTGAGCTTCGACCCGAGCTACCTGGATATATGGGCTCCTACCGAGAGGTGTTCGAAAAGTGAGGTGCTCAAAGTTCCAACCAGGCAAGCCAACCGATCAAGTGATGGCCTCAGAGCGCCAATAATGCTGCCCCAAGCACGCATGGAAAAAAGACAAAAAATGGGGGGTAAGACTTGGCCCAGTATATACCCCCGGTGGGAGTCGAACCCACACAGCCCACTTAGATCGTTACAGGCAACATATTTTATGAGCATTGAAAGTGGGTGATCACAGTGATCCACGAGGGCTTGGTGTACTCTTGAATCAACCGTTCATTTGCTTCGTCACACAAATGGGGTTCGACTGGGACAGCCGCAGACTCTGGGGCGGCAATACCAACCTAACAGCCAACCTGAGCTGGGATACCATACAGCTGTATTGTATCTACGGTGGTGGGTAGGTAGGTGGGTAGAATTACACGGCACGGTCCCACTGAGGAAAAGGTGTCCACGCTTACCCCCTGGTTGCCTCAACGTGACGTGATGCGCCCGCCTGAATTGCCGGACATATCGATGGTTACCTCGGCCCCATATATCCTCGATCCATCTTGGTCAGCAACCATCGGAGCGATTGTGGGCTCGATCGGATGGAAGGGAAACATTCCATTCTGTCCAGTCACCTCTTTAAGTACGGACGGCGGGTGATCACCTTGATCTGCAAGGGCTTGCCTTACTTTTTGTTCAAGATCAGGATGTACCCACAATGCCACCAGTTACTCTCGTTACAATGAAAAATATCTACGCCGGCGCGAAGTCAAGTCGAAGTCAAGCACTCGGCGCGCTGTGGAACGAAAAACAGGCGCGTATCCCTCAGACTGAGGAGGCACGACGTAGGAATCAGTAAATTGCGCAAAGGAAAGGAGAACAAAAACACCTATCGCTACATCTACCATGCCCTCGGTGGGAGTCGGACCCAATCTGCCCACGGGAAAGAGGTAACGACACTGATGCAATTGGAAGTGGGTAATCACCGCGATCAAGGGCTTGTTTGAAGTCAAGCTAGGAATAGATAAGTAGCGGAACCTTTCTCGACGACACCAGTAAACTTTGAATTCTTAGAATCCACCGTGCAGTCCTCTGTGAGCGGAGAAACAGGAAAAGGACATGTGCCAACGACGTCTGACACTTGGCTTAGACTTCGAACACGAATCAATAGAAAACCCACGCTGGTTATCGCGACGGCCTTGGGGAAAGTCGCCACACGTACACCGAGCCGCAGTGATCGACAAGGCCTCACGGACGAAGTTGAGGCGAATAAATCAAGCTGAAATCAATATTCATTTCGCACCAGATCGTGAGGCCAATGATGGATCGATCATCCGAATGAGAGTCCCAGGGATATCGCGACTACGTTGAAAGGAAAACCGGAATGAGAAGGGCTGGAGCATTGAGGGATGAATTCTGAAGCTTGGAACCTGGAACCTGGACAGCTGTGCGAGACCACACCAAGATGTGGATGTGAGTTATTGCCGAGAAGCCCGAAAGGTCAACCAAGGGTGGTATTGAGCGTTCCCACGGAGGATTGGAGCAGATGTTGAGTGGAGGGACTCGAGAGAGGTATACACTGAGCAATTGAGGAACACATTGAGTAATTGAAGTGTGAGGCGACAGTGAAAGCTACACGATGCAAGCCAGGACTCCGATGGCAAGAGCAGCGGGTTTGGGCGTCGCTCAAAAATCCGAGTCAAGCATTTAAGTTCGTCGGCGTGCGGGGTCCAGTAGAGCAGAAGATCTAGACGCGATAGAGAGATTTGGAGCGAGATTGAAATGAGTGCTGAAGACTGAAGTGCGTATGCTTCGCCAAACGTCAAAGTCGATGAACTGCAACACGGACGCAAAAGAAAGGCAAGTCAGTTAACGCCCACGGGGAGAGTCGAACTCCCGACGCCCACATATATCGTTCGGGAGCTTTTTCTTTGTAATAGATTGTGGGTGATCGGCCAGTGATCAACGAGGGCTTGAGGGGTCTGATTCTCTGCACGGATGCCGATTCATTGAAGAGAGAAGACGGTATCCCGTTGACTCCAACTTGACGATGCCGCACAGAACAGTATCATACAGTATCTGGTGGTGTTTTGGCTCTCTGTTGGGGGTGGGCGACGATGGATCCATCAGCCTTGCGCGTTCTGTTAGGATCGAGAAGCGAAACCGGAGAAAAAAGCGTCAGATTTTTTCGTACGCCTTAGGGGAGAGTCGAACTCCCTAACCAGACCAGTACGAGGGACACTACAAGTTGCCGGTGAGTAGTGCATACTCAGCAAGGGCTTGCTGGGGATTTCGGCGGGATCGTAAGAAGGAATAGGAGAACAGCCCAGGTGAAATTGCAAGGCCGAATGAATAGAATGTTGCCAGAGAAGCCTATGGACAAACGTCGGCGGAGCTGCCTAACATTGACGAGGTGTTGTCCGGTACAAGTGTACTGTGAAATCACCAGTGCATTTGGCCCATTGAGCACTGGACTCCCGAGCCCCAAGTAGACCAAGTGAAACCGACAGTACGGCCAACAACGGGAAAGAAAGGATTGGAAGAGGCCAGAATGAGAATTATAAGTAGGCGGAGGAAATCGTGCGTGCAGGCGGCGCCAGAACCAATGCGCTCGCTGTGTTCTTGCCGCCGCCGATCGGGAGGCGTCGCCCCAATGAGCAGGACGAGGTAGCTGGTGAGGCTCGAACAATTCAAGAACGATATTCCCTTGCGCCTTGCTCCCGCTTTTCCGTCGACAGATACTCCACTGCTACTCCCCAGCTCCAGGAAGTTTCACGGGCGAGGCAAGCAACAAGGTACGAGAAAAAGCCAGCTGGGAAGCACAGCACGAAAGCCAGCAGGGATGGCGAGCAGTTAAGAGCGACAGCCAGCAAGAGAACCAGGGGGGATGGTGGGCAAGGAATACAACACAAGAAGAGCAACGCAAAATCAGGCAACGCCAGTACTCAAGTGCCTCGAACGACGATCAGGCGTGGCAAGAGAGCGCAAGGGATGAACTCCGAGCGATGCTCGAAAGAAGTATGAACAAAGAGACAGCCAGGAAAGATGCGGCGCACCTCACACTCTCCCGAAAGCAAGCCCTCCAGCCCATCGGGTGTCTCTCCTTCTGGGGGTGCACAGTGACGGCACGCTCGATTCGGCATTGCAAATGCTAGCCAGTCCTACATATTTGCGTTAGTTTTCGCGTATGATCTTTTATGCGGGAGGAGGGTAGGGACGGGACGGGACGGGGAAGGGAGAAGGGAGAAGGGAAGAAGGAGGGTGGGAGAAGGGACGGAGATGATCGCAGAGGACGAAGCATAAGGGAAGAAAGGAAGGAAAACACGAGAACGCACCCTCACAAAGTCTCTATAAACACGCATCCATACTCGCGTCTATACCATACGTCTGCCTTCGTTTGATTCAATTGAGTGAGTCGCTGGGGCCAGGGACGCTAAATCGGTGCGCGACGACGCGGAGGAGCGCGCGTGCGGATGCCCGTTGTGCCGAGCCCGCGGGAGCAGCAGAGTATATACAAAACTCGGACATTACTTACATTTTCAAACCCGGTACATATCAACCAGACACGGTACATTTTGCACAATGTGCCGGGTTTGAGATCAAACCCGGCACTTTCCTTATTGGAATGTACCGTGTATCGGCACAGCGGCTGACACCCATTTCCGAGTCGGATTGGCACGTGCGCAATCTCCTGCTTACCTCCCACCACCGTCGCCACCGTAAATACTCAGGTGCGCCGTCCCGCTGCACGGCGTCCTCCACTGCCTTGTTTACATGCTCTCAGGCATCGTGGCTTCGAATACCATGTACAGACTCGCGCCATCCACGAGGATGCGTGGCACCGCTTGCAGGCGACTCCTTTCGCAACCCCAAACCCGCCCTGCTACCTAAACGACCGTCGACGATTTCGCGCGTCCTATGTACGCCAACCCGGACGGCGCTATTTTTTTGTCCCCATGCGACTCGCGCGCGCAGCCCGATCCACGGCCTGACTTCCCCGTGCGCGGGTGCCCTTGAGCCGCACGGCACTTTCAGAGCCAGGAGATGCACCCGACACCACTCCGCGCCGGATCCGGTGCGTTCTCGATCTCATCATCTATGCTATTGCGACTAACTCACCGATCGCAAGATTAACCTAATTGCAACACCTGTCAGTGCCCAAGAATGGAGGAGGAACTCCAGGTGCGTACTCTCACTCTCGCATCTCTCTGCCGTGGCACAGTCCGTAGCGCTCAAGTCGATGCGCTCCGCCGGGGTAGACAGAGACACCTCTCCCTGTCTTTCGCATGCGGATTCACGCGTTTCGCGGCGAGCGCGCCTGAGACGGCCCGACAATATGCGCTCACGCTGCGTCAGCATGGGTGCACACAGCACACATGCAGAGGAGACGGAGTCCCAGTGCGCGCAATGAGCTGCGTAGTGCGCCACGTTTACCGGCTTGACTCGAAACCAGCGTACGATATAACTTGACGATTCACGAAGGTCATTGGGAACCTGAATTGGTCGCCGTAGTCAGTCAAATACAAACAATAGAAGAAATAAATGGACTCAAATTGAGTTGAATCTTCTGAGTAATAAGCGAACCTCGTGAGTATGTGTTTTTGACTGGCAAATGTGAACGAGGATCTAAATGATTCGGGTGAAAAGACTCGTATCACGGTTGGCCAAAG